TAATCTAGTAGTGGATTGTCAAAATAATTAACAAATTCAGACATTAAACTCATTAGAACAAATCAGCAATAACTTTGAACAGTTATCAGTGAGGCTAGTCTCTTTTCAGAGGTCATTGCCTGTGTTCTAGCAGTCTAAATTCATTGATTCTTCTTGATTTTGCCCTGCAAACATGTAAGACTATCATACAATGGGGCACTCTACACCTGAGCTGCTAAAGCCACTAAGGCCCATGGGTGACAGGAGGCTGGCTTTGAAAACACCTGGTAATCCCCATGGCTGGTATTTCTAGCGTTCAATGCAGTCACAAGATTTAAAAGCTCTCGTTTTTTTTCTTGAGCGTAACACTGAAAATGGCAAAAATGAAAGCTGTGGGGTTCATTTCTCTCTCCCTTTACGGAGCTCCAGGAGGCTGTCATACAAACCTTTGGGAGATCTATATAGATAGACTTGCATATAGAAATATGCAGCAATATAGAAATACAGGTCTATAGGTATATAGATATATATTTATAGATATGTGCATACATATAATATATTTATAGACACACAAATAAAACTATCTCTGGGCAAAGAAATTAAGGAACACAGGGAAAAAACTTCCCTAAATGCCAGGAACAGAGAGAGCTCAACACCCCTGCCTGTCTACAATGGCAAGAAGAAGCCAAGGTGCGTAGGGAACATCAACGTGGCTTTGCCCAGAGCCTGAGCTTTGCTGGGAAACTTGACTATTGAGCCGATCAGTAAATGCTGACTCTTTCAGGGTTTCCACTCTGAATGGAATGGTGGAATAAATGGTGGAATAAATGGTGGTGTAATAAATGGTGGAATAAATTTTGGTAAGTTGCTTCCAGCGCTGAAGCTGGGCTTTTGTTGGGCTGTGCTGAGGTGATCTGAGGAAAGCAAAAGGGAAGAGCTGCCACGTGACTGACATCCTAGTCCATGTGGTTGGTGAGACTTCTGCTGTTAATGTCTGTGGAGGCAAAATTGTGTATATTGAATGATGAGGACCACTCCCCACCTTAGACCCCCTCATTGCTGGTCAGGCTGTACACTGCGGCTCATGCCAGATAGCGAATTCCAGTGAGGGCACCATCCTGGGGACTTCAGGGGAGCCGAATAAACAGCAAGTCCTGGGGATAAGGATCAGTCTCGAGCTAACATGGAGGATATTATTCCTTGATTAAGTTAAGGGAAGGAAAGTTTAGACTGAAAGCTTCTTAGTAAGATCTAGCAGGTTCTGGAAAGACCCTTAAGGGAGATGCTGGACACAAAGCATCTGCAAATCAGAACAATAATAAGGCTTCTTGGGTCAGAAGAAGTGCACAGGAGGATGAGAGACTCTGTAACTTACTTGTTAGCATACGTGCCATGTGAAAGGTGAAGGTGAGGTGAAAGCTCAAGCCCAGCAGCAGGTTGTGCATTTTATGGAAAATGGTTCCAGGCAATAGTGACTCCTTAGGATTCACCCGCTCTCCACCATGCTACAGTGCTGCCTGGTCTTCAGGGGTTGTCGTGGTGGTTTTTTTTCTGAAAAACCTACCAAATTATTTGCAAACAGAAAAGATTAGAAATGTATGTCATATTGTGAATCTGGAGGTTATGTTTAGCCTAGAGGTGTTTTCCGGGTGCCAGCAAGTTTCTGATACCGAGCAGAGCACAAAGCAGAACCTTAGAGTAGCTCTGGGCTGCAGAGCCTTGTAACAGGGGAAAAAAAAAAACAGTAACAGAAACAGCTGACTTCACCTTTTGCTGTGATTATGTGGGGCAGTCAGCACCAATTTTGAAAACTGCTTGATTTTTTTCCTAAAAATAGCCTTCCGGGTCACTTTTAATCAAGTCCAAATGGCCAAGTCTCTGCGTTAGTAATTCTCTGATAAATAAAATTTGACGGGGATACCTTCAAAACCAACAGCCGAGCATTTAAACAAGTTGTCTCAAACTGAGTTCTGACTTCAGCCTTGTAAATCATTGCCAAATATCGCTCAGCTTCACGGCCTAATCCTCTGAAGAGATATCTAATGCTGTGTAAATCTGTGTCAGGAGGACAACAGCACCTGTGATGTGTTTCAGGGTGACATTTACAGCGCTTTAAAGAAAATGGCAACCTGCTCAGGTCCGAAGTCTGGTCTTGCAGGATGTGAACAGAATGTCTTCTGCCTTGAGGGAAGGGGGAGTTATGGGACACAAGGGAGGAAGCACACAGATGCATGAACAAAGGGCAGTTTGAAGACCTTGAGAAGATCTGACTTTCAGTCATTGTGGGTGAAGCTAGCGAAAAAAGGTGTTGGGTGGTTGGTATTTGGTTAATTTTATTTTAAATCTGTACATTGATTTTACAAATGAATGAGCTTCCCTTGAAATAGATGAGTGTACAGATCTTGGTTTCTGTCTTTGGGCATGCTATCATTGAGCTGTTTTTCTCATATCTCCGGCCTTTCTGAATAGGGAGCTCCAAGGCTTTGTGAGATTAAGACATTTTCTGCACCGAACTTTCCACCAAAGGCAGAAATATGTGCCACATTGTTACTTCTATCATGATATCTCAATAATGCCAATTATATTACAGCTTTAAGATGACTTAGTTGAATGGCTTTATTAAATAAGTATGCTGCACATTTGCTTACTGCTATTAGACAAATCCTTCAGCCCTTTCTCCTTATTTAGGCAACATTAAGTCAATGGGCAGAATGAATGAAAGGAGAAGGCTTTGGCCTGTATGTTAATGCAACTTTAGAGTACAGGATGTAATCAAGTCTGGTAAGAAATGGGGAAGACAGAAAATAGGTGCTGCCTCAGTTTGGAAGCGTTGGTGAGTTTAAGATGGTTTTGAAGTCAAACCCAGATTTTCACCTTTAACTGTAAGCATTGACTGAGCAGGATTTAAGTGAAAGAAGCATTACTAGTGAATATAGGTCAAACCTATGGCATTACTTACTCTAAAATAGCTTCTTAGACATGCCCATGTCACAGGTTCAGATCTGCTTTCTTAGAGATGGAAGCGAAGGCTTCACTGGTGATTTTTACCTCCCCAGTGTCTAAGGGTCCTGAGACATCAGACCTTGAATCCAGTCTGTTTGTCTCCTGTGATGTTTTTATAGCACGCTCAACCCTACCATGCAGAAGAGTTTGTCAAGCCCTTCCTCCCCTATCAGCCCCTGGGTCTGTACACGAGAGGTGAGTTTGTGTCACACCTTGTTAAAGAGTGACATGTTAAAGCGTGACAGTCGTCCTCTGTGCCACCTCGTCATCTGCAAATCTGCGCTGTCTCATCCCGGCAGATATCCAGCTCGTTGTATCCAGCCCAGGCTTGGTGTCTCAGAGACCTCCTGCCCTTAGGCTTGCTGTCACCCACATGCCACAATAAGGCCATCAATAGGTAAATAATTTAACAAATTGAGCAAGTTTTACAAAGATGTTTAGCTGTGCAGACAGCGCTTGTACATAAATGAAAGCATATTCAGGAGGAAGGTTGCTCCACAGAGGACACTAACTTGTGACTTAGGGGACCAGGCTCGTCTTATCCTGCTTTATCATGAAGCTCATGGGCGATGCTGGGCTGGTCAGCCAGCAGTGGGGTCCAGAGGAGAAATCATCCTACCCTAAAATTAATAGGAAGAATTGTCATCAGGGCTGGCTGTCTTAATGGGGGAGCCTCAGTCTCCTTTTACGTTAAGCACATATTTTTTATATAGTGTAGAAGAATCCCTGGTTTTAGACTTTGCTTCCATCTTTAAAATGGTAACAAAGCACGCTCCTTCCAGGTAAGCTTTGCACACTCATGTTAGTAAGTGGGAGATAATCCAATACCACGGTAACTGAGGCTGTGAAAACAGCTAAAGTAAGATGGGAGTAAGTGAACTGTGATGAGCAGTACGCATAGGTCTTTATCTTCTAAGGAAAGAACGTTTTATAATATGCGAGGATTGATTTTGATTCCTTTTTTAATACATGCCAATCAGCATGATATCTATGGTGTTGGAGAGCTGTTTGTTTCTCACTCCCTGCTGGGTAAGAATGCAGGCTGTGAACATGTATTTGAGCGTGCAAACCCTAATTGCTTCTTGCGTTTCTTAATCTGACCCATAACCTCCACTGCCATTCAGTTCATCCAGACTCCAGTCCTGTGCCTGATAGCACCTACGTTTCTGACCAGCTGGGCACTACAAAAGCTCTGAGAACATGAAGAGCATTGGAATCCCTCCATGCTTTCTCCAGTTTTGGAAATAGATAGTTTATTTCAAATAAATACTCTTTGAGAGGTATGAACCTCCACATGGAGCACCTGTCAAGTTTGTTTCTGCCTTAGAGGCTATGCAGAAACCAGAAAAAGTGTAAAAGTACAGAATCAGTCATGCACCTCGTTCTTTTAGAGCCTATGGCATAAAGTCATGTCTATCAGCAGTCTAGGAGACTTGTTTCTAATCAGTAAATTTAAGATTGGTAATTGAATGGTGATGCTAAAATCTTTTATCTCTGCTGGAAATGGTTAGATCTTACAGGTGCTTTCATCCAGAAAGCCCTAAACTATAACACTTATGTGACTCATCATATGTTCAATAATGGAAGATACACACACCTCGAGGAGTGTACAGGAAGCCTACAGCATGGGCATCATGGAGTGGTGGTTTTCTTAATGGTGATCTCTTTTCTCATCCACTTTGTGCAACCTGACATTCAGAGGATTTCTCTGTGCTTAGTTAAAAGGAAACCAACATCTTTGAAAGACTGTATTTTTGTAAGTTTTGCATTAAAGTGGAAACAAAGGTTTTGTGAGTTGGTAAGAGTTCTGTATATGTGTGGATGTAAAAAAACTTTTTTCTGTGTTGGTCTAATTTAATGGCTCCCATTTAAGGTGTTTCTTCCCCCTCCCTCCCCCCCCACTGTTCCAGCTGTTTCCAACTAACCAGCTGTTTCCTTTCAGGAAAAAAAGTCAGGAGAGAAGGAAAATGGCAGGACTGAACTAACAGATTGAATTTGTGCTTTGTGTCTCCATTCAGGTCTCTTTAATAAGCCTCGTAGCCAGTACACTTGGATACTCTGAGATGGGGCCCATTAAATCCCTCAGGACCCTCCGAGCCCTGCGACCGTTAAGAGCATTGTCACGATTCGAAGGCATGAGGGTAAGAATAGATAAAGCATAGATCAAAGCTCAACTGAGTGACACAAAGCATGTAGCAGGGAACAGTTGCACGTGGTTTTGTCTTCATTTTGTCTGCCAAAGGAAATGAATGATAATGCTATATCAAAACAACAAAATCAGAAATCCCTCCTTTGTCTTGATTGCAATTGTATCATTACAGCTTTATCCTCTGGTGGATTTAATGATAAACTAATCCTGCTGCCTAACTTGTCATATTGTGCTTTAAAAAACAGCTTTTTGGACGAGGAAGCATCTGGCTAACAATTACCTCTCAATTATAAAGCGTATCAGGGGAATAACCAAGCTACAAGTTTGCTCCCTGCTTTTGACATGTATTAAAATGAGACTGACTGGGAAAGTTCTTAAGGACTTTTTCACTAATGATTAAAGCAAAAATTAGAAATGCTCAAGATAGGGAAAGCAAATGAATGATTATATAAAATCTTTCCTTTGAACAGATTGCACATTTAGTATAGAATGTCAGGATTAACATTACAACTATGTAGCTTGTGTTTGTTGCTCCATCTTGTACATCCATCTTGGTCGCTTCTGCATTCCTTTGCTGGCGTGGCTATATCCGCACGGCATACTTGTTTATTTGTTAAGCCTACCTGATACACTAATCAATTATTGTCTAGATAAGCACTTGATTAAACTCCTTGCACCACGCATGACTTGCAGATGATGACAACTGTGTTCTGTATGAGCTGAGGTTCCTGCTAATCTCGCAGATTGCATAGTAAGATACAGCAAATCTGTGACAAAATTACACATAAAAGAATTTACATTGTCCAATGATCCCTAATCTCTCTACAAGGTCAAAGAAAATGCTACAGCTTTCATACTGAGGGATATTCAGGGAAAAGCTTTCCTGTAGACAAAATTTTGGTCTGAATCATCAGTGACTAAAATGCGTAGTTCGTGCACTGAGCTCCTAGCAATTAACTGCCCTTATTGCAATAGCCTTGTAGTAAACCAGACTGAAGGCTGGAGAGTCTAACCACCAACATAACCCAGGAAATATGGGGATAGAGCAATTTCTGACCCTGTACCCACACCTCGCCCCAATTCCAGAATTGGGGATCTATGGCTTTGTCCCACAGACCTTAGGATTATCTAAATCACATCATTTTTGTGGATGGAGATCAGACAAATCCAGTTGCACACCACTCTCCTCTGTGGTAGTTCTAAGACAAAAAGATTCAAGCGGCATTATTTATCTGGGCACCCAAACCTGAATTGCTTTGTTCACCACACTCTTTTCAGCAAACACAGGCAGTATTTTACAGGTTATTCACAAAACAAACCAAGCCAACTGCAGATCCTCCACTAGCACAAAACGATGTTGCACTACTGATGGTAATTAAAGCTCTCATTCCTATGTCATCTGATGACCTCACTCCAAGTCTTTATTAAACATACGTAAATTGAGCAAACATTGGTATCAGCAAAAGCTGCACTAGTTTAACTAGTTTAGAGTGGTTTGTGTGTGGGCTCTCTCAAATCAATTTAAATCTGGCTTATGAAGGCTTAACTTCTACTGGTGGATTTGCAAGTTCAGGCAAAACCTCTTTAGCATATTCTAAGCTGACATAAGAATGTTCACTCATGACTTTGCATCAGTTTAACTAAATTGGATTCGAACCTGAAAAGCAGTGGGAAGACTACCCCAAAGCATTAGAAAAGTGAGACTCAAATAGGAAAGAAATAATGTGAAAAAGTTCACATCTCTATTGAGAGGTTTTCTAAAATAGCAAGAGGTTGGCTTGGTGGAGAGCCTACGTGGTGTAGACACACAGATCAGCCCTGCAAGTTTTCTTCCTAACATGCTCATACTTGTAGGCTCCCCTTGTGCCTGACTCAACATCCCTTTTCTTCCCGGTACCATTGCTGCAGCTGAAATATATACTGAGCTATCAGAGGTAGTGAATTAGCTTGTAAACTATGATAAAGTGTAATTGAGAATACGTGCTATTGGAAAATCAAATCATTTTATTTTTAGTTTGTCTAACCACACTTAACATGACTAGGGACAGTTAGACCTTTCATTATTAGGAGTTCATATGCTCCAGAATGCACAGGAAAATTGCCAGCACGGTGATGGATTAAATAATGATAATGTTGAGAAGCAAACACTGTCAGTAAGAAAATAATAATAGTTTGCTCTATTATAATATCTTTTTCTTGAATAACTTGAAGATTTCTGCATGGCTAGAACAGGAACAGGAACGTTCTCATTTATACTGCAGTAAGAGACTTATTTCTTTGATGCTGTACCTAAATTTGAGAAACAATTGGTCCTGAGGCAAAGGCACAGAGTAGCACTTGGATGGCCAAGAGGACCTGTTACCATCACACTTCAGTCCTTTCCCTGTCTTCAAACAGGCTGGGACCCGTCTGAACTCGACACAAGTCCCAGCATCTCCTGTCCCATGAGAGGTCTGCAAAATAAGGCTGAACTATTGACATCTTGCCCGTCTGTCCCCCCAAAAGACCCCAGTGAGACCAGTATCCAGCCTCACAGTTACTGCAGACCCTGGGGGTGCCATGCGCTTGCCACCACCCTGCATCACCCACTGCTTTCCAGTCCATGTTAGAGCCCAGTGTAAATTAACTTAGGTCTGCCTGTCCCAAATCATGAAGTCTCCCATGTCTCCTCATTTATTGTCTGTCAGGGAATTATTTTAGAGGTCCCATTTCCCTGCAAGTTTCTTCCCAGCAAGGAAGGTTTTTTGCAGTATTTTAAAAGGATGAGTGGGATGATGATAAACCATTTAATGTGAAAATGATACCAGGCAAAGTCATGGTGAGGCTGCTACAAGATACATGCGGGAAAGAAATAGCATAATTAATGCTAGTTAGCATGATTTCATGGGAATAGTTCTTGTAAAACCGATATGGTCCTTTGATTTGATTACAAATTATGCTGATGACGGTAACTGCACTGATATAATATCCTTAGATTTCAGAGAGGAATCTGATACCGCGGGACATTGTGATGAAAACACGAGCTTTGTACCAAGCCAAGTAAACATATTTTAAATTAATTTAAAATGGGTGATGGATCTTGAAAAGTAATTGTAAACAGTGATGACACTGTAAATTTGGTGATGAGTGTCTCAGGGTGAGGGATCCTTCAGAATAAGAGTTGTCCTTAATCTGGACTTTAACAGCATCTGGAAGAAAATATAAAATCTTTGCTGACAACACACAAAGTGAGCGGGGTAGTAAGCGATATTACAGATAAGGGAATTATACTGACTGATCTGGATCACAGTGCAAAACAGATCAATGGTACAACATGCATTTTAATAAAACCACATGCATCGTACACTTCGGGAAGAGGAAAGTAGGTCATTCTGGGGGACGTTTCTTGGAAAACAGCGGCTGAGAAGGACTTAGGGATCGGGATGACTGTTCAACAGGACACAAGCTTTTGGGCAGGTCTGATAAATGAGGTGACTAATGCAATCGTTCAATATGCTGGGAAATGACCCAGCAAGCAGAGGGAGAGGACAATGTTTCAATACTGGAATTCCACCAAACTGCTGGACACAGGGGGTTAAAAACAGATAATTCTATGCAGCATGATTAGAAATTTGAAGGAATGATGAAAGTTAGAAAGGAGCTTTGTTTTTTTAATTACCCAAAGCGATGTTTGGTGGCAGTTGACCTGCAGCGAAGACTGGGAGGATAGGAGATGATGTCTAACAGCAGATGACTAATGCCTCAGGTTCAACAAATTGAACCTAAAAATACAGCACCTGTTTCTAACAGTGAGGGCAAAGGACACCAGGAAGAGAGTACTTAGTAATAAAACATTTGTCCATTATTTGAAATCATGAAGCTGTAAATTAGACATCTTTGCAAAAACTGTTGCCCAGGCTTGAGTAGGAGTTAAAGCCCGGGCTTGAAATTACTGCAAGAAGTCTGGTGGGCTCTGCTGTGGCAAAGGGAGGATTAACGCATCATGCAAGTCCATTTCCACATTTAAAATCTGAATCAGCTTTGGCTTTCAAGGTGGCCCATGAGATCAGGAGAGCTGGGCCACCAAATCTATAGCTGGACCACAAGCTATAGTTTTGCACCACTGTGGCTTAGGGCAGAGGGCGGCTCATTTCTAGGTGATCTCTAAAGAAGTCACCTGGAAGGTGGTTTCACCTATAGAGGTATTGATGGAAATCAAGAGGTATGAAACCTTTTCTTATATGTGGCTATATACATTGCTGTTCCTAGATGCGACAGAAATTCGGCCCTTTCCAGGGCAAGGTTCGCAGCTGAACTTTTAACACGAGTTTATGATAAGAACTTGCCTTATGTATTCAGGTCTTCAAGTCCTCTCACTTGTCTCAGTGCAAATCAGGAGTGCTTCCAGCAGACCAAATGGCATCACACTGATGTAAGAGCAGAAGCAGTGAGGGAAGAATGAAACCCCCTGTTAATAATTCATTCAGAGAGGTGTTACAGGATTTGCTCCAGCCTCATGTCATGGTTTGTTATCTACAAGCCATCGAACATAATTCAGCAGAAGGAAAAAAGCAGGACGCAGGCATGACCATCGTTTGCTCTGCCGAATC